ATAAATGCTAAATGTGATGGGGACCCACCCATAAGGTTTGAATGATGAATGTTGTTTACACCTAGTTTAGGCTCATTTTCATAACAGCAAAGTACATATTTTATTTTATTTAATAGATATTTTTGTTCATATCATTCTCTCACTTACTCTTCTCCACGCGTGTTCCTCATTTTAGAGTTGGTATTTGACTTTTAACCTGAATACTTATTAGATGTTGTTGCCACCTATTATAGTGTTCATATCATAATAATAGCTAATGAGAAACACATTATTCATAAGACATATATGAAGTAGCGAAGTAATAAAATAACATTTTGTAGCTGTCATATATATGAAGCAAGTGAAGCGGAAATCTTCATGAGCCATGCATCACAATGCACAACAACTTCTTGCGACCACTTGTGTCGTTCCATCATGTCCCTCCATACTGTTGATGATGCGGGTGTTGGCTCGTGGTGTCGGTCTTTCATAGCTTCAACATTGGTGGTTTCACCTCCCAGCTCCGGTCTGTGCCTCCATATAGGTGTAGGGACCGCATACCTACAATAATATAATAATAATACAATAAAAAGAAAATGTCATGTTAACTTGATCACCTCATTTCACGCGCTTGAGAATTGATGTTGATCCCACAAGCACTCACCTAGATCTCATTTTTGAAAGAACGCCTCCTCATCTGCATACCCACAAACAAGGTTCGCAGTAGATAGTAAATATTAAAATATTTTTGAAACGACTATATTTGCTTGACAAAGCAGGAAAACAGCTATGCGAAGAGTACACATTTGATTTTGTGCGATGCAAAATTCCTCTCAAGGGACACTTAGTCCAACTAGTGAATTTGTAAAAGTATATTTTAGTTCACTATTCATAATATCATATTTTAATCCTCTCTCTCCGCTCTCTCTCCTCCACTCTCTCCTACTCTTTTTCTGTATGCAAGTGTGTTCCTCTATTTGACGGTAAAGGTGGATGCTCGAGTTGAAACACTTCACAAATGATGTTGTTAAATATTGTAGTATTCTACCTTACGCACCAAGTGACGAAGACACTCGCCCACCGAAAAGGACAAGGTGTGTAGTGTTCGAATGAGAAGAGAACCACCTATTTAGATCCTAGGTGCACTTACACATTTCCGTATGCAAGTGTGTTCCTCTATTTGATGCTAAAGGAGGACGCGCTAGTTGAAACACTTCACAAGTGTCGATGTTACCTTCGGTAGTATTCTTACCTTTAGAGTAAAGAGATGAACGCACTTGCCCACCGACAGTACAAGGCGTGTAGTGTTTGAATGAGAAGAGAACCACATATTTAGTGTTGAAAGATGCATTTCGATGGACACCATACATTTTTGATCCTGCAAAAGTTACTAACTATTAATTTTACTATAGTTAAAAAGTCCTTTCTTACAAGGCGTTTCCATTACCCTCTCACCCTTTTGTTTCTTCAAGTGCATTCGACTATCTAACATTAAAGGTGGATGCTCTTAATGAAACACATGCCAAGTCTAGTTTCTTTGGCAGTATTTCTTCCATTCATGTTGAGAACACGAACACAAATAAAAAGGGTGATGTTTATAAATGCTAAATGTGATGGGGACCCACCCATAAGGTTTGAATGATGAATGTTGTTTACACCTAGTTTAGGCTCATTTTCATAACAGCAAAGTACATATTTTATTTTATTTAATAGATATTTTTGTTCATATCATTCTCTCACTTACTCTTCTCCACGCGTGTTCCTCATTTTAGAGTTGGTATGCTGACTTTAACCTGAATACTTATTAGATGTTGTTGCCACCTATTATAGTGTTCATATCATAATAGCTAATGAGAAACACATTATTCATAAGACATATATGAAGTAGCGAAGTAATAAAATAACATTTTGTAGCTGTCATATATGAAGCAGTGAAGCCGGAAATCTTCATGAGCCATGCATCACAATGCACAACAACTTCTTGCAGCCACTTGTGTCGTTCCATCATGTCCCTCCATACGCTGATGCCGGGTGTTGGCTCCGGCGGTGTCGGTGCTCGCAGCTTCAACATTGGTGGTTTCACCTCCCAGCTCCGGTCTGTGCCTCCATATAGGTGTAGGGACCGCATACCTACAATAATATAATAATAATACAATAAAAAGAATATGTCATGTTAACTTGATCACCTCATTTCACGCGCTAGGGAATTGATGTTGATCCCACAAGCACTCACCTAGATCTCATTTTTGAAAGAAAGCCTCCTCATCTGCATACCCACAAACAAGGTTCGCATTAGATAGTGAATATTAAAATATTTTTGAAACGACTATATTTACTTGACACAACAGGAAAACAGCTATGCGAAGAGTACACATTTGATTTTGTGCGATGCAAAATTCCTCTCAAGGGACACTTAGTCCAACTAGTGAATTTGTAAAAGTATATTTTAGTTCACTATTCATAATATCATATTTTAATCCTCTCTCACCGCTCTCTCTCCTCCACTCTTTTTCCGGATGCAAGTGTGTTCCTCTATTTGACGGTAAAGGTGGATGCTCGAGTTGAAACACTTCACAAATGATGTTGTTAAATATTGTAGTATTCTACCTTATGCACCAAGTGACGAAGACACTCGCCCACCGAAAAGGACAAGGTGTGTAGTGTTCGAATGAGAAGAGAACCACCTATTTAGATCCTAGGGGCACCAACACATTTCCGTATGCAAGTGTGTTCCTCTATTTGATGCTAAAGGAGGATGCGCCAGTTGAAACACTTCACAAGTGTCGTTGTTACCTTCGGTAGTATTCTTACCTTTAGAGTAAAGAGACAAACACACTTGCCCACCGACAATACAAGGCGGGTAGTGTTTGAATGAGAAGAGAACCACATATTTAGTGTTGAAAGATGCATTTCGATGGACACCAAACATTTTTGATCCTGCAAAAGTTACTAACTATTAATTTTACTATAGTTAAAAAGTCCTTTCTTACAAGTCGTTTCCATTACCCTCTCACCCTTTTTTTCTCCATGTGCATTCGACTATCTAACATTAAAGGTGGATGCTCTTAATGAAACACATGCCAAGTCTAGTTTCTTTGGCAGTATTTCTACCATTCATGTTGAGAACACGAACACAAATAAAAAGGGTGATGTTTATAAATGCTAAATGTGATGGGGACCCACCCATAAGGTTTGAATGATGAATGTTGTTTACACCTCGTTTAGGCTCATCTTCAAAACAGCAAAGTATATATTTTATTTTATTTAATAGGTATTTTTGTTCATATCATTCTCTCACTTACTCTTCTCCATGTGTGTTCCTCATTTTAGAGTTGGTATGCTGACTTTAACCTGAATACTTATTAGATGTTGTTGCCACCTATTATAGTGTTCATATCATAATAGCTAATGAGAAACACATTATTCATAAGACATATATGAAGTAGCGAAGTAATAAAATAACATTTTGTAGCTGTCATATATGAAGCAGTGAAGACAAAAATCTTCATGAGCCATGCATCACAATGCACAACAACTTCTTGCAGCCACTTGTGTCGTTCCATCGTGTCCCTCCATATGCTGATGCCGGTGTTGGCTCCGGCGGCGTCGGTGCTCGTAGCTTCAACATTGGTGGTTTGACCTCCCAGCTCCGGTCTATGCCTCCATATAGGTGTAGGGACCGCATACCTACAATAATGTATAATAATACAATAAAAAGAAAATGTCATGTTAACTTGATTACCTCATTTCACGCGCTAGGGAATTGATGTTGATCCCACAAGCACTCACCTAGATCACATTTTTGAAAGAACGCCTCCTCATCTGCATACCCACAAACAAGGTTCGCATTAGATAGTGAATATTAAAACATTTTTGAAACGACTATATTTACTTGACACAGCAGGAAAACAGCTATGCGAAGAGTACACATTTGATTTTGTGCGATGCAAAATTCCTCTCAAGGGACACTTAGTCCAACTAGTGAATTTGTAAAAGTATATTTTAGTTCACTATTCATAATATCATATTTTAATCCTCTCTCTCCGCTCTCTCTCCTCCACTCTCTCCTATACTTTTTTCTAGATGCAAGTGTGTTCCTCCATTTGACGGTAAAGGTGGATGCTCGAGTTGAAACACTTCACAAATGATGTTGTTAAATATTGTAGTATTCTACCTTACGCACCAAGTGACGAAGACACTCGCCCACCGAAAAGGACAAGGTGTGTAGTGTTCGAATGAGAAGAGAACCACCTATTTAGATCCTAGGTGCACCTACACATTTCCGTATGCAAGTGTGTTCCTCTATTTGATGCTAAAGGAGGATGCGCTAGTTGAAACACTTCACAAGTGTCGTTGTTACCTTCGGTAGTATTCTTCCCTTTAGAGTAAAGAGATGAACACACTTGCCCACCGACAATACAAGGCGTGTAGTGTTTGAATGAGAAGAGAAATACATATTTAGTGTTGAAAGATGCATTTCGATGGACACCATACATTTTGATCCTGCAAAAGTTACTAACTATTAATTTTACTATAGTTAAAAAGTCCTTTCTTACAAGTCGTTTCCATTACCCTCTCACCCTCTGTTTCTTCATGTGTGGATGCTCTTAATGAAACACATGCCAAGTCTAGTTTCTTTGGCAGTATTTCTACCATTCATGTTGAGAACACGAACACAAATAAAAAGGGTGATGTTTATAAATGCTAAATGCGATGGGGACCCACCCATAAGGTTTGAATGATGAATGTTGTTTACACCTAGTTTAGGCTCATTTTCATAACAGCAAAGTACATATTTTATTTTATTTAATAGATATTTTTGTTCATATCATTCTCTCACTTACTCTTCTCCATGTGTGTTCCTCATAATAGCTAATGAGAAACACATTATTCATAAGACATATATGAAGTAGCGAAGTAATAAAATAACGTTTTGTAGCTGTCATATATGAAGAAGTGAAGCCAGAAATCTTCATGAGCCATGCATCACAATGCACAGCAACTTCTTGTAGCCACTTGTGTCATTCCATCGTGTCCCTCCATATGCTGATGTCGAGTGTTGGCTCAGGCGGCGTCGGTGCTCGCAGCTTCAACGTTGGTGGTTTGACCTCCCAGCTCCGGTCTGTGCCACCATATAGGTGTAGGGACCGCATACCTACAACAATATAATAATAATACAATAAAAAGAAAATGCCATGTTAACTTGATAACCTCATTTCACGCGCTAGAGAATTGATGTTGATCCCCTAAGCACTCACCTGGATCACATTTTTGAAAGAATGCCTCCTCATCTGCATACCCCCAAACAAGGTTCGCATTAGATAGTGAATATTAAAATATTTTTGAAACGACTATATTTACTTGACAAAGCTGGAAAACAGCTATGCGAAGAGTACACATTTGATTTTGTGCGATGCAAACTTCCTCTCAAGGGACACTTAGTCCAACAAGTGAATTTGTAAAAGTATATTTTAGTTCACTATTCATAATATCATATTTTAATCCTCTCTCTCCGCTCTCTCTCCTACTCTTTTTCCGTATCCAAGTGTGTTCCTCTATCTGACGGTAAGGGTGGATGCTCGGGTTGAAACACTTCACAAATGTTGTTGTTAAATATTGTAGTATTCTTTCCTTACGCATCAAGAGACGAACACACTCGCCCACCAAAAAGGAGAACGTGTGTAGTGTTCGAATGAGAAGAGCGCCACCTATTTAAATCCTAGGCGCACCTACACATTTCCGTATGCAAGTGTGTTCCTCTATTTGACGCTAAAGGAGGATACGCCAGTTGAAACACTTCACAAGTGTCGTTGTTACCTCCGGTAGTATTCTTCCCTTTAGAGTAAAGAGATGAACACACTTGCCCACCGACAATACAAGGCATGTAGTGTTTGAATGTTGAAAGATGCATTTCGATGGACACCATACACTTTGATCTTGCAAAAGTTACTAACTATTAATTTTACTATAGTTAAAAAGTCCTTTCTTACAAGTGGTCTCCATTACCCTCTCACCCTTTGTTTCTTCATGTGCATTCGACTATCTAACATTAAAGTTGGATGCTCTTAATGAAACACATGCCAAGTCTAGTTTCTTTCGCAGTGTTTCTACCATTCATGTTGAGAACATGAACACAAATAAAAAGGGTGATGTTTATAAATGCTAAATGTGATGGTGACCCACCCATAAGGTTTGAATGCTGAATGTTGTTTACACCTAGTTTAGGCTCATTTTCATAACAGCAAAGTACATATTTTATTTTGTTTAATAGATATTTTTGTTCATATCATTCTCGCACTTACTCTTCTCCATGTGTGTTCCTCATTTTAGAGTTGGTATGCTGACTTTAACCTGAATACTTATTAGATGTTGTTGCCACCTATTATAGTGTTCATATCATAATAGCTAATGAGAAACACATTATTCATAAGACATATATGAAGTAGCGAAGTAGTAAAATAATGTTTTGTAGCTGTCATATATGAAGCAGTGAAGCCAGAAATCTTCATGAGCCATGCATCACAATGCACAACAACTTCTTGCAGCCACTTGTGTTGTTCCATCGTGTCCCTCCATATGCTGATGCCAGGTGTTGGCTCTGGCGGCGTCGGTGCTCGCAGCTTCAACGTCGGTGGTTTCACCTCCCAGCTCCGATCTATGCCACTATATAGGTGTAGGGACTGCATACCTACAATAATATAATAATAATACAATAAAAAGAAAATGCCATGTTAACTTCATCACCTCATTTCACGCGCTAGAGAATTGATGTTGATCCCACAAGCACTCACCTGGATCACATTTTTGAAAGAACGCCTCCTCATCTGCATACCCACAAACAAGGTTCGCATTAGATAGTGAATATTAAAATATTTTTGAAACGACTATATTTACTTGACAAAGCAGGAAAATAGCTATGCAAAGAGTACACATTTGATTTTGTGCCATGCAAACTTCCTCTCAAGGGACACTTAGTCCAACAAGTGAATTTGTAAAAGTATATTTTAGTTCACTATTCATAATATCATATTTTAATCCTCTCTCTCCGCTCTCTCTCCTACTCTTTTTCTGTATGCAAGTGTGTTCCTCTATCTGACGGTAAGGGTGGATGCTCGAGTTGAAACACTTCACAAATGTTGTTGTTAAATATTGTAGTATTCTTACCTTACGCTTTAAGAGATGAACACACTCACCCACCGAAAAGGAGAAGGTGTGTAGTGTTCGAATGAGAAGAGCGCCACCTATTTAAATCCTAGGTGCACCTACACATTTTCGTATGCAAGTGTGTTCCTCTATTTGACGCTAAAGGAGGATGCGCCAGTTGAAACACTTCACAAGTGTCGTTGTTACCTTTGGTAGTATTCTTCCCTTTAGAGTAAAGAGATGAACACACTTGCCCACCGACAATACAAGGCGTGTAGTGTTTGAATGTTGAAAGATGCATTTCGATGGACACCATACACTTTGATCTTGCAAAAGTTACTAACTATTAATTTTACTATAGTTAAAAAGTCCTTTCCTACAAGTGGTCTCCATTACCCTATCACCCTTTGTTTCTTCATGTGCATTCGACTATCTAACATTAAAGGTGGATGCTCTTTATGAAACACATGCCAAGTCTAGTTTCTTTCGCAGTATTTCTACCATTCATGTTGAGAACACGAACACAAATAAAAAGGGTGATGTTTATAAATGCTAAATGTGATGGGGACCCACCCATAAGGTTTGAATGATGAATATTGTTTACACCTAGTTTAGGCTCATTTTCATAACAGCAAAGTATATATTTTATTTTGTTTAATAGATATTTTTGTTCATATCATTCTCGCACTTACTCTTCTCCATGTGTGTTCCTCATTTTAGAGTTGGTATGCTGACTTTAAACTGAATACTTATTAGATGTTGTTGCCACCTATTATAGTGGTCATAACATAATAGCTAATGAGAAACAAATTATTCATAAGACATATATGAAGTAGCGAAGTAATAAAATAACGTTTTGTAGCTATCATATATGAAACAGTGAAGCCAGAAATCTTCATGAGCCATGCATCACAATGCACAGCAACTTCTTGCAGCCACTTGTGTCGTTCCATCGTGTCCGTCCATATGCTGATGTCGGGTGTTGGCTCAGGCGGCGTCGGTGCTCGCAGCTTCAACGTTGGTGGTTTCACCTCCCAGCCCCGATCTATGCCACCATATAGGTGTAGGGTCCGCAAACCTACAATAATATAATAATAATACAATAAAAAGAAAATGCCATGATAACTTCATCACCTCATTTCACGCGCTAGAGAATTGATGTTGATCCCACAAGCACTCACCTGGATCACATTTTTCAAAGAACGCCTCCTCATCTGCATACCCACAAACAAGGTTCGCATTAGATAGTGAATATTAAAATATTTTTGAAACGACTATATTTACTTGACAAAGCAGGAAAATAGCTATGCGAAGAGTACACATTTGATTTTGTGCGATGCAAACTTCCTCTCAAGGGACACTTAGTCCAACAAGTGAATTTGTAAAAGTATATTTTAGTTCACTATTCATAATATCATATTTTAATCCTCTCTCTCCGCTCTCTCTCCTACTCTTTTTCCATATGCAAGTGTGTTCCTCTATCTGACGGTAAGGGGGGATGCTCGAGTTGAAACACTTCACAAATGTTGTTGTTAAATATTGTAGTATTCTTACCTTACGCATCAAGAGATGAACACACTCGCCCACCGAAAAGGAGAACGTGTGTAGTGTTCGAATGAGAAGAGCGCCACCTGTTTAAATCCTAGGCGCACCTACACATTTCCGTATGCAAGTGTGTTCCTCTATTTGACGCTAAAGGAGGATGCGGCAGTTGAAACACTTCACATGTGTCGTTGTTACCTTCGGTAGTATTCTTCCCTTTAGAGTAAAGAGATGAACACACTTGCCCACCGACAATACAAGGCGTGTAGTTTTTGAATGTTGAAAGATGCATTTTGATGGACACCATACACTTTGATCTTGCAGAACTTACTAACTATTAATTTTACTATAGTTAAAAAGTCCTTTCATACAAGTGGTCTCCATTACCCTCTCACCCTTTGTTTCTTCATGTGCATTCGACTATCTAACATTAAAGGTGGATGCTCTTAATGAAACACATGCCAAGTCTAGTTTCTTTCGTAGTATTTCTACCATTCATGTTGAGAACACGAACACAAATAAAAAGGGTGATGTTTATAAATGCTAAATGTGATGGGGTCCCACCCAAAAGGTTTGAATGATGAATGTTATTTTACACCTAGTCTAGGCTCATTTTCATAACAACAAAGTACATATTTTATTTTATTTGGTAGATATTTTTCTTCATATCATTCTCGCACTTACTCTTCTCCGTGTGTGTTCCTCATTTTAATGCTTGGTATGCCGTCTTTAATCTGAACACTTACTAGATGTTGTTGCCACCTATTATAGTGTTCATAACATAACAACTAAAGAGAAACACATTATTAATAAGACAAACCGATGGGAAATTAAAATAGAACCATTTTCTAACTTACTCTTCTCCTTGTGGAAGTGTTTTTTTCCCACATCCTTGCACATGGTGTTCCTTCTTTGATCTTAACACTTCCTATCTATAGTTTCATACAATTACATTACTTGTACCTTAACTCTAAAGGAACAAACACATTAAGCATGGACCATAACAAAATGGAAATTAAAGTAGTGGCACACATTTGTTGACATTTTGTCCACGCATACTTCTTCTCCCGGGATACTTACTCCAACTAGAAAATTCATGGAAAATATATTCTAGTTCACTCTTTACAATATCATATTTTAACCCTCTCTCTCTCTCTCTCTCTCTTTACCACCCTCGCCTACACTTTTCCGTATGCAACTGTGTTCCTCTATTTGACGCTAAAGGTGGATGTTCTAGTGAAACACTTCACAAGTGTTATTGTTATCTTTGGTAGTATTCTTACCTTTCGTGTCAAGAGAAGAACACACTTGCCCACCGATAGGACAAGGTGGGCGATGTTTGAATGTGAAGAGAACCACATATTTAGTGTTGAAGGATGCATTTTGCTGGACACCATACACTTTGATCTTGCAAAAGTTACTAACTATTCATTTTACTATAGTTAAAAAGTCCTTTCTTACAAGTCGTTTCCATTACCCTCTCACCCTTTGTTTCTTCATGTGCATTTGACTATCTAACATTAAAGGTGGATGCTCTTAATGAAACACATGCCAAGTCTAGTATCTTTGGCAGTATTTCTACATTCATGTTGAGAACACGAACACAAATAAAAAGGGTGATGTTTATAAATGCTAAATGTGATGGGGACCCACCCATAAGGTTTGAATGATGAATGTTGTTTACACCTAGTTTAGCCTCATTTTCATAATAGCAAAGTACATATTTTATTTTATTTAATAGATATTTTTCATATCATTCTCGCACTTACTCTTCTCCTTGTGTGTTCCTCATTTTAATGCTGGTATGCTAACTTTAACCTGAATACTTATTAGATGTTGTTGCCACCTGTTATAGTGTTCATAACATAAAAGCTAATGAGAAGCACATTATTCATAAGACATATATGAAGTAGCGAAGTAATAAAATAACATTCGGTAGTTGTCATATATGAAGCTGTGAAGCTAGAAATCTTCATGAGCCATGCATCATAGTGCACAGCAACTTCTTGCTGCCACTTGTGACGTTCCATCGTGTCCCTCCATATGTTGATGCCGGGTGTTGGCTCAGGCGGCGCCAGTGCTCGCAGCTTCAATGTAGGTGGTTTCACCTCCTAGCTCACATATGTGCCGCCATATAGGTGTAGGGACTGCGTACCTACAATAATATAATAATAATACAATAAAAAGAAAATGTCATGTTCACTTGACCACCTCATTTCATGCGCTAGAGAATTGATGTTGATCCCACAAGCACTCATCTGGATCACATTTTTGTAAGAATGCCTCCTTGTCTGCATACCCACAAACAAGGCTTGTGTTAGATTGTGAATATTAAAATATTTTTAAAACGACTATATTTACTTGACAAAGCAGGAAAACAGCTATGCGTGAGTATACGTTTGATTTTGTGCCATGCATACTTCCTCTCAAGGGACACTTAGTCCAACTAGTGAATTTGTAAAATTATATTTTAGTTCACTCTTCATAATATCATATTTTAATCCTCTCGCTCGTCCACTCTCTCCTACTCTTTTCCATATGTAAGTGTGTTCCTCTATTTGACACTAAAGGTGGATGCTCCAGTTGAAACACTTCACAAATGATGTTGTTAAATATTGTAGTATTCT